CGTCACGTTAGCGGCCGCCCCCCCCGCCAATTACACCCGAACTGACAAAGGCACCTAAACGAGTACCCAGGAGTACCAGACCGACCGCGCCATATATAGAACCTGAAATAGAACGCAACGGGCAAGCGAATTTTGAAACAGTACCTGTGTCTGACGATAGCCGTAAAGACTGCCAAATCTCACAAGGATCGGCGGAAGCTGAATCCGCAACCGACCTCGATCCAGAAGACAGTGATATCGCAAACCTGCCTCTCTCTGGCGGCCATCGTCTATCACAAGTTGGGAAAAGTTGTCATGGGGATGGTCCTCGAACTGTTCGTATATCGGCCACCCCGCGATCACTGGAGACAGAAAATGCTCCCAGGATTCCAGCTGCGCTACCGCGGATAGTTTGTAGGGCTGAATATAGTCCACCAGTGTTTCCATCATCGAGTTTAGCTTGGATATCGTCTCCAGCAGGGTAGGGGAGTGTACATTCTTCTGTTATCTGAGGTTCTAGTCCTACTGGTCATCTAGACACAAGACCGCACGACATTAGCTGGTCCGTAGCCAGCACACGTCGGAATACACTCGTGGGACCTCAGCTTGCCGTGGTACTTCTGGCAAAGTCTCTGATCCTCAATGACACTCTGTTTGTTAACCCAATCCCAAATCCAGCTGCTTTGACGGCCAAGATACACAGCGTCTGGGATGAGGCGGTGAGTAAGATGCCAGGTGTGGGGCGGGTGAAACTATCGGAGGAGATCGTGGCCCTAGTAAGTAAAGTCAGCTAGATATGGGGAGAACCAGGAAATTGTATTGATCCAGTTAGATACGCCAGAAGCAGTCGGGGGTAAGGGCACAATTCGTCTCCCATGTGAAGCATCACATTGTAGCATTATATGAACTACCAGAAGATACCCATGGTATGGCACATAGGGTTTATTATCTCATGGAAAAAGACAGGTTTATGTGCGACCCCAAAGGGTACGAGGTTGGCCTCCCACAGATGACGCTCCCATACAATTACATGTGACTACCACTGACGACGGCCATGGCAAGACAGCGTGTGAAACTGCGATTCCTTGTGCCACAGATCCCCGAGGCGATATATGGTAAGTACTTCGCAGGGAAGAAAATGCGGGGTATAGTAGACCCAGATTTCCTAGACATGATCAACGGTAGCATGGTCCGCTTGACATGCGCTATACTCTATCATACACTTAGGACGTGGCAAACCGGTACATATACCGAGCCAACTGACTTCAAGCATGAGTTAGTAGGAGGTGAGTATATGCGAATCATCGGGCATAGATGTGCGACGAATCTGGCTAACCCTCCACCAAACATTTGAGACCTCAATGCTAGGCAGACAGAGACATGGCGGAAATGTCCCCAGGGAATCCAGAAGAGTATTCTTGAGAGTATTCGTCAAATGATTACCAATAAGATTATGCAAACACGGGGTGTCCACCAAGACCGACGAGAAGGCTATGATGACGACTGGGATGCAGTCAGTGCCGAATTACAGAGCCGGAAGTCGAACCTGGAATTGCAACCACCCCCCCCCTGGCGCAGCGACACTGTGACTGATTCACCCATGCTGGTCCCAGTGAGGCCACGGGGCGGACGAAATGAGTCGCAGGACACCGATGTCACCGCAAGTTTCGGTCAGATGTCCACTGCGCTGGCGCTGGCGTTGCTTGATTCTGATCCAATCGGTAGATCCCTCCAGGACATCGCATGTCGACCGACGGAGATTGTTAGCAGCCCTCCTCCGGCCTTACAGCTATCGCTTAGTCTTGAGTAGTCAGCTGAGGAACACGGAGTAGCGGCCGAAAGGGGTCCCACCGGACTGGGCAGCCCATTGTAGTTGCTTATCACGGAGAAGAGGCTGGGGCAAAATTTGTGAGGTCGATACTAGGTTGTGGGTGAAGGAGGATTGGAGCAATCACGATCAGAAGAGGTACTGCGCGGAGACAGTAGAAACCAGTGTGCATGAGGGGACTGGGACGTAGTCGGGATATCACCGCGACGGCATAATATTGTACATATAGCGTCAGGGTCAACTAGAGGGAATCCCACAAGATTAGGCAAATAAGTCTGTTAGGTATGGATGAGGAGGAAACATCCACGATGTATTGTGACATAAAATATCGGGTAGCGAGAACCAGGAGCCATGAAGGTCCGAATCATGATTGATTGGTAGCGGGAGAATCTGGTCAAGAAACCAGTGCCAGGAGACTCAAACGGTACGTAAGTTGAAAGATCTGGGTCCAAGGAACGTTGGCGCAAAAGTCTCCAGAATGTACTAGTAGAGATCAAGACCACCAGTTTGGACGGGAGATCATCCAGATCTTTGGGCGCTGGGTCGTCACGTCGAGAGTTAAGAGGAGTCGTTTAAAATATCGAGATTAATGCTGCCAGTGATGGGTAGGGTTGTGACGTCAAAGGCCAGGGGGTGGGCAAAGTCAGATGGGATGGAGCAGAATCAGACGATAGCAGGGAGTAGCAAAGGGTCACAGAGATAGTCAGGATGCAAGAAGAAGAAAGCGTAGAATGTCCTGACGCATGGAGAGGAAAGGGTCGAATCTCTGGACAGGAGGAGAAGAGAGCGTGGAATCTGCGGACGCAGGGGACGTCGGCATCTATGTCCAGTAGGGTCAGGATGGGTTGCGCAAGAGGAAGGCCAACCTGGACGCGACGTCCCGCGGACGTCGCCTCCAGATCAACGGTTTGCATTTGAGCTTCCCGTGTGTCAGATGCACGGGACGCACAGGACGCAAATTGAAATCTTTGCTGATGTTCCTCCTCTCAGTAGCTCCCTGGTGTGCGTGGAGGTAGGTGGGGCACTCCTTGGAGGTAGCCATGTGATCGTTGCCACAGTTGAGGCACCTAATGGTTGTATGAAGGCAAGGCTTGCCCTTGGTCAGGCCGCCTGATCTGCCGCAAGAATGGAGATGGGCTGGGTATTCCTGAGAACAGATAGCACAGTGGGGGGTTTTGTTGCATTGGGTTGGGTGATGAACAAACTCCAAGCATCTGGAGCATTGAGTGTCAGGACCAAATGCCAAGTAGCATTGTACCTTAAACTTCCTGTCACAGAGTGAGAGGCCTCTGCTGAGGGCTTTTTCTGTAGATTCTTTGCCGGCAATTGTGAGGACCGCCTACTGGTCGCCACTATTGGTAGAGCTACAGTCTGTTATGAAAGTGGTCTTTACCCTGGTGCAGTTTTGGCAGAGTGTTGAGTTTGACGCCAGACTCCTCAGACGTCCTTTGGGCGCACTGTCTGATACTCGGGGTCCTGATTTTATGCAATGCCAGCTTTTCAATGGTGTCTCAGACGCCTACTCGGCGCCAATATTGGTGAACTCATCATGAGTGAAGTAAGTGGTTCAGGTTGCATTCATGGCTAAGGGTTACATGGGGGGCTGTTTCTTTCTATACCATGTATTATAGAACCGACTTTGAATATGATAAGAAATTCTATTTATTTAAAAGGTTTCAGAAGGTTTATAGGTGACCTGGGTCACAAGGTCTCATTCTGGCAGTACATCCTGTAAATTGCCGTAGTGCTTACCTGCATTCTGCCTGCGTTCTGGGTTCTGGCACCAAGGTTTACTTGCGTTCTGACTGTGTTCTGAGTTCTGGCACCATGGACAGTTACATCCTTAGTTCTGGCACCAAGGAGCTTTGCATCCTGAGTTCTGACGTCGAGCACTGTTGCATCCTAACATTCGGTACCTGCCATCTTGTGTTGTAATTACTGCTTTATATCCTGTGCGTCCTGTCCATCTGACACACCGGACACACAGGATGCAAGTAGAGTTCATTACCGGACCCGATTTCTCACAAACAGGGTGTCAAGAGCAGGTTATTAACTGCAAGTTAAGCTAAAAATCATCCAAATCGGACAAGATTTGACTGAGTTCGAGGTCTTTGCAGTTCAGCCACTTCAAATCACCCTAGCTCCCTCAGTTTTGGTCCCATTTGGATCACTTTTTGACCCCGTTAATCAGAATAACCTAGGTTACATTGTCCCTGCTTCCTGGAAATGGGGCTCTGTAATGAAGCCTGGACCCAAGCTTTTATTTTTGCTGATATAGTTATTGGTATAAGCTAGACAGACTACTTAAACCTTATGCAACAACTCTCCTACTCTAATATAATCAATATCCTCTTGAAACCTCAATTGGGTAAAGCTTTAGATTAGCAAGATTAAGTTTTGCCATTTACTTTATTCTTTTATAACTGCAAGAGCTGTTTATCCAAAGCTTTGAACTTTAGTACAGTTACATGCTTAACATCTATCTTTCTAGGGGAGCTCCCATTACTGAGATTTCTTCACTTTTTTTTGTTAGTTATCATTGGCAATATGAGAAGCTATTTTGCTGTTTTAAAAGCATCACTCAATGGTGAGTTTTCCTATTACTTTGCATTGGAATTAAGGCTATTTCTATTGCTATACTGTAAGATGAATGTATGTTTTTGAGCCAGAATCAACAAATATATAAACTACTTCTACTATAAAAAAAGGAATAACTACATTTAGTTAGAATAAAGCTTACTTAGACTATTTGTATCCAGCCCATGTATATAGAATTAATAAATGCTAAGTCTGTATGAGCATAACCACTGAAAGTTAAATATTTTCAGAAGTTGCTGGTTTTAGGGTATAGTACCATCTCCATACAAGGTTGAGTATTACATGTTGCACTGAGCAAGGTGTATGTTTTAAGTAATTGGCATCATATGTGCATCCGTTAGCAATAAAGCGATAGGCTACGATATCGTACAAGTTGGCGGGAGATTAGTACCAGAGTGTACTGTAGGCATGAATACAGGTGGTGCTCGAAGTGAAAAATTATGCTGTAACATGCCATATTTCGTACGTATTTCGGAATTGCACTGATACTGTAAGTTTTGTATTGGTTGGTTATACTTGTATTGTAAGGTAGGGAATTACAGGGATTCAAGCCGCACCACGACGCTCCGTTTCAACAAGTACTGCTGGCAGCATTCATTTAAACTTTTGTCCCTTGATCCATTTTAATTATGAATATGATCTACAATCCAGCGTTAACCCGAGGAGAAACCAAAATATAAGAAACCATAGAGCTAGTTTACGGACACGCAAGCTACGTTGCCTCACTGTAACCCGACTAGGCATGAGAGTGCGGTCGCAATTCTCATTGGAAAAAGCCAGGAGCTCAACTGCAGATGACCGGCGAATAGGTGACTGGGGTATAGACAGAGGCCATGGCGGTAGAAAAAAAAACTATAGGGTGGATTGTGAAATTATAGGAAATAAAAGTAGACAAAACATGAGGATAGAAATGTGATAATTCGAACTAAAACATCAAAAGACGGCAAACGCCTTGAATTAACCATGAGATGGGAAAAAGATAGCCGGGCACTGCCCACGTTTTGGCGCGTGCTTCATGCTGGATGGGAGGACGCAAGGAAATTCAAGAGAAATGAGGCTTCAAGGAAGAGGGAGGTTGAGAAACAAAAAATTGACAGAATGAGAGAAATTATTATACTGGCGATATGCCTAATCTTGTCAAGAATTTTTCTGGACCCAGCACAGTAAACGAGATGAGAAATGATCAAGGGTTGAAGAGACCTTAGCGCAGGCCGATAACACTCTTCATAATTGTTAGCACGTGAGGTGGGCGATGATGGAACGGTGGATTGAAATCTGAGTAAATCTAAGCGGGAACGACCATGACATACCATTTCTAAAGTCCAAACGCGACGAATCCAAACCTTTAGTTTACCATCCACGCCCTCCACGCCCTCTAAGTCTATACCTTCCCACCAACACCGTCTCTGTAAGTTCCATAACCTGGTGTCAGCGGCCGCTATTGGTGCGTGATTCTTTAGAAGCTAGAAGTACTCATACAGCAGGTTTTCTCCAGAACAGAAGTAGCTTCTGAGCCATACCAACTGTGCTATTTTCCTTCCCATCGCCGGTCGACGATCTCATGTCGGTCCTAAGCCTGGCGAGGGCAAGACTACAAATGACAGCTTTATTCGGTTCACCAGCTCGGTGTCCCCACCGATCATCCGTGTTGAATCCACTATAGAGAAATCGGGGAGATTCAAAGTTGGCACGTAAGCCAGGGATGGGGTAGAAAATAGGGAAATAATGCGGAGATTCTTACCCTGCTGTCAACATCTCGATAAGATGCTGTTCAGTAGTCCCGGCATCGTCGGTTCTCCTCAAGCCGGAGAAAATCCCGTCCTGTTTTAAAAGCACCTTGCCTGCATTTTGCTTGACAGAGACCATCTCTGGATGAGAAATATCTCTGCGGGGTGGGATGACATAGAAATCAAGATCCTCCCTTAAAACAATTATGCCGGCCCGGTCCTGAAGAACGCTGGTAGGAATAGAAGGGGACGCGCCATTCTCTACATCGGCGTCATCACGGCCGCTGGTGGAGGCAGTAATAGTAGAAGACACTTGGCGAAAGAAATCCAACATGTACTGAAGACAAACCGGGTCGAACTGGAATCAAATCAGAAATATAACATTGGGAGCATGAGCGAGGGAAGATTACATCGACCGAATGCACACCCTCGTCATGGAAGGAATTCATCTGGCCATCGGGGAAAAGGCCATTAGGGAAGAGTGACAATAAGACGAATTCAGGCAGAGTCAAGAGCTCGTCGCGGGAAAGGACAAATTGGGTACCTCTAATAGCCGGAAAAGTTAATAGAAAGGGACGGGAAAACCCGCCGACAAGTAGTGGGGCAAGGAGAAAGGATTCGATACCGAAGATCTAGAGTGAGATTCTCTTCGCTTGCAGTATCTGTGGAGGGGACGTTAACACAGGCATCAAATGAAAGCAAGGGGTGGCACGTGATCCTACCACCAAGTGTTGTAAGAGGAGGAGGGCCCCCTTGCTGAACCTGCGTAATAATAGAAGCGGATCCGCCGGCAGTAGCCATACAGAAGGCGAACGAGCAGATCGGGGAAGAAGATTCAGTATAGGGTGGTGGGGGAGGCTCAGGATCTTGGTTGCTATAAGAAGGTGAAACCTGAGAGCTCTCTGGAGGCTTATCCGTCTCGTCCTCCTGACCGTCGCTCCAGGAGCCTGATTGCTGAAGGCTAAGGGCCGAAGAGTAAGGTGACGGATCTAATGCGAGCGACGTCGACGGAGATGAGGAAGCCTGTCCAGGCACTTGGGTTTGAGAAGCGTTGTAAGACGACAAACCGGCGGAGGGTGATGGGGACGCGACGGGCGACAATTTCGTTTGCGTTGAGTCCGTCAAACGGCCAGGCTCATCAAATCGAAAGTAGGGAAAGGGGATTGAGCAAGCGAAGGATATTCGCACAAGGGTGGAGAAGTTCTTAGTCGACCTTGCCGAGGGTTCGGGTCAAAGGATGAGAGCGAGGAACGTGTGAACAGTGGTAGTCGGGGATGGAGGAACACTTACCCCTAAACCAAGATTAAGTTTACGGCTCTTAGTATGATAGTTTGGTGCACCGGGACCAGTCTTGTAAGGCACGGTAACTTAATTCGGTTGGATGGTGGCGAGTTGAGTTTCACCAAACGAATGTCTTGGCAGACACATGCCAAGATGGATGTGCATTAGCACTGAAACGCTCGTTATTAATACTCGTACAGTAGCGAGTTTGCGCACCAAGACCTAGATGGCGGTTAATGGAACAGACACCTAGGTCTCCAAATGAGTTTGCACAACAGGTGTAGGTAGCTTGGAAGACATGTGACCACATACCATCACTATCGCATTGTGAGATCATAAAGCATTGAAATCAAAACTCATTATACTTGCTCGTACTCATCTTATTCTTTCAATGCTTGGAGCTTGTTTCCTTTATAATCAATATGTGCAGTGTTGAAAAGTCTTGGGGCAGCTTCAGATAGCATTAGCACACAAGTGTTTACCCATGTGTAACCACACTGATTCCTACCTTCTGAATGCAGTATGATTAACATTACCTTTCCAAGTATTTATCACCAATTATCATAATTTTCCTAGTACTCATTATTATGATAGCTTAGCCTATACAAAGACAATGCCTGCTACTTAATTGAACTATAAAACCTCTGTAAATACAATATTTTTTATAATACCAACTAGTATATTATCTCTTATTAATACCTTGACATTTGGAGGATTAGATGCTCGAGATAATGCTACATACAACTGTCCATGAGTAAAGACATCATTTTGCAAGGAAATTCCAACTGTATCTAATGACTGTCCTTGACTTTTATTGATTGTTATTGCAAATGCCAAGCAAACTGGATACTGACTTCTATTAAGTTGAAAGCCAAAATCATTATCTGGATTGCTTGTAATTTGAATGCATGGTATATAGGCCTTTTGCCAACTACTTGTGCTAGTAAGAATAATTCCTCCAATGAAAGGGGTTCCCAAGTGTATAATCTAAAGTCTAGTACTATTACAAAGACCATGAAGTAGACTAAGATTTCTTAAAAGTATAATAGTAGCACCAATCTTTAGTAATAACTGTAGAAAACTTTGTAAAGCATATCTTCTTCATTCATCTGTAACAATAGGAGAGGATCTGCCCCTACTTATAGAAAACAAATGTGCTGTGAACATGACTTCTGGTCTATGTACACTATTCAGTATTCTTCGTTACCATGATTTCTTTCTTACTACATGACTGACCAATTACAGGAAGTACAGTAGTGCATTTCACTAAGACAATTAGACAACTCTAAAAGAGGATAGCGTATAAGGAAATGAGGTACAAGGGGACACATATTCCAACAATAACCTATGGTATGGCATTCCTGACAGTATAAGTGAGTTTAGGTACTCACAAGAATAGAGTTCAGCAGCTTCTTCTGTAACTGTATTAGTACTAAAATATATTGTAGGCTCCCCAGGTAGCAGATCCAATACCATATTATTGATATTGGCAACATCAATATTACTGGGTGCTAAAATAGCTCTTCTAGCAAGATATTCAGATACAGGGACTCCACACTTAAGATAACTGTAGACACTACCAATAAGTTCCTCAATTATATTGTTTGGAAGTTGTAGAGCCTTTGGTAAAGGGATTTTAATCAATAGCAGAATGGTCTATCTGCTTTTCTCTAACTGCTAGAATGAACACAGAATACTTTCTTGTATTTCTCTGTTGTTCTAGGGATAGATGACCTCTTAAAAGTTGATAGTTTTCTTGCAGATAAAGGGTAACAATAGAGGATCAAAGATAGGATCTTTTTAGAGTAGAGACAACAATCTGGGCCTGGGATCCTCATAGTACTACTAGTAAGGACTGTATGAAGTCTCCAGCAAAAAGAATCGTTAATCTACCAAACAGTTGTGAAGAACAGTTACGAATATCCTGTAATGTTCTATCAACCGCCTTAAATGCGTGCCAGTGTTGCATAGGAGCTCCATTCCAGATAAGTATACTGATTTGTTGAATCTGTTGTGCCAGTACCAAATTTTGAGATATATTACAAGTTGAATCCTTATCAAGACTAATTGGAATTTTAAGTGATGAATGAGCAGTGCTCCCAGAATTTAACAGAGTTGCTGCAATACTAGTAGATGCAACTGCAATAGCTATTTTTCCCTCTGTACGAATAATATTTAAAAGTAGATTTTCTACAAAGGTTTTTTGTGTTTCTCTAAGGCCATCAAGGAAAATTAATCCCAGATGGTTACATCTTACACACTCCATTATCCTGTCAATAACATTTCATTGGAGGCTGTTACATTGCTGCAAGTCTCTTTCAACCTCTGTTGTGACTTGAGATAGACATTATACTTCAGGTAGATTCTGGTTATGATGAAGATTGTGATTGTATAAATCTTGATCAACTAAATGAAATTGGAAAGATGAACAGGGAATTCCAAAGTCAAGGGTTGACTTTCCAGTTTGTTCCAGGATACAGTTTAAAATATTTAGAGAGTCAAAGCTGATTACACCCTATGTATGGAGAAGTAACAACCTTGTATAAGACCGCTCTCCTGCCTTAGAACCACAAAATTACATTCATCCAATTGATGTACCTGTTATTCATGGAATTCATTCTCATTCTTTTCGTTGGAATATATAATAGGTAGGAAAGTCCTGATAGAGCAGAAATCGAGCTTGTACATACTTAACATTTGGCTTAAAATAGGCTGTCAAAGTAGTGTCTCTAGCACTTTCTTGATCAACAACCTCAAGAAAATTATCATCAGCCTGAAATTAGAGCATATGGTGATTGGGAAGATGAAGTTGAAGTCGTTAAATTAAAGGACTCCCATCATGTATCTTATTACCAAATAGCTGCCAAGTTGCCTCTAGTGCTAAAATATATCATGCATCAAGATAAACCTTTACTTTATCAACATTTATAGGATTATCAAGAATGATACTTGCATGGTCTGATTCTTTATATATATATTTGTAAAAATACTTAACTACCTGTATTGAAGAACATATCACAACATTGATATGACAGTTATACCACTTTATAAGAAAAGGATTATATGGAATAACCTGTCTATTATCAAAGCGAAAGGTTTTTATAGTTCTATCTGATACTACCTGGCTTTTCTCAATATATTTTACATTTTGCTAACGGTGATAACATGGATAACTATCTTCTCCCAGAATGGTTTCTGGTAAAAAGACTTTAGCATAATGTTTTAAGCAGCAACCATCAATTCCTCTGCCATCAAGTATACATGGAGCATTACTATTTTCCACTCCACATGGCCCATGGAGCATATATGTTGTAACAGTTTCCCATAACTGAAGGTCTTCTTCCTTGTCTTAGATCTCAGCACAAACTGCCTTATTAATTGGTTCTCTTGTGTGAATTAAATCATGTGCCTGTAACATCATCAAACTATGTGCATGTGGCAGTCCTCATTTCTGAAACTCAATGACATAGATGTAGGCCTTCACTTCTCCTAAAACACCTTTTTCTGCAAGATCCTAATTAGACAGCTGAGTTTTAACTGAAAAACTCTAGATACCAAATCAGGTCAATCTATAACCTACTATCCATAAAGTAGGTTTTCCTGAATCTCAGGCCATGCAAGATTTCAAGTCATTGTAATAAAGAAATCTTGTTTACCAAATGCTGTTACAATAGCCATTGCATCTTGATATAACTCTGTCATCTGCCTGGGTAAGCCAGCAAATATCGAGGGAAGAGTTACCCATTTGCCTAAATTGGCTAAATCTATATCTCCCGGATTGGCTAAGGTATCTGCCAGTCCTTGGTATTAGTCACTACGTAGTACCTTCTGATTTAATAGGACCCATCTTAACTTATTCTGCTTAGAGGCAGCAAATGCATCAACACACCATTCTTGCAGTAGTTATCCTGCAAGAAACAGCTGGGTAGGGTGTGGCAATTGTATATGAAGATGGAAAGTGTGAAACAATACCAGTGTAACCTGCTTAGAACATCCTTGTCCAGTTGTAGGATTTACTTGACAGAAGGTAATTCTTTCTTCTGGCTCAAGTAGTTACTCCTCTATACCTTGGTAGTCATTATGGACTGCATGTATAGCAATCTCATTTCCTGCAAGGGAGATATCTGAGTACTATCCTTGTCCTCCTTGCATTATCATTAGATGATATCTTAAAGGAAGATAAGATGCATGTAATTCGGAAACCTTCTTCATTGGCTTAGTATCATGGTTGAAACCGTTATATCGAAGGATTATTTCCCCCAGTTCAGCCTTCTCTTCACCCATTCCTTCTATCAAAATACCAATCTCATTTGTTAAAGGTATATTGTATGTATGTGGATCTTTACTATGCTGTCTAGGATCCTGAATCTGAAGGCATAGAGTTTATACAACTTCCTGATTTGATGCAATTATATCTCCTACTGATTGGAAAAGCTGTATATAGACATTATTTTCTGCTAAAGTTAATTGGATTTGAGTAACAATTCTTGCATCAAGATTATCAAATATATAAAGTCTGTGTTCTATTTGACTTTCATAGTTGCAAGAATCATGGATGTAAATCTGTGCAAATTTGGGCTTCACTGCTAAATTTGGAAGTAGGGATTCAATCCAATGGTATACAGTTCATTTAATATAAAAGGAGTAGGTTTCACTTCCTTATAGACCTAATGTTTGCTCATTTCTACCCAATGAGGTAAAAGCAAAGATATTATTATAACAATAAATCTTTCGTTGAAATTCTTTAGCTACTATTGATATCTAATAATTAGTTTTACTGTGCATTTTCTTCAAGAAATCTTTTAATTCAAAACTATTTACCTGGAAATTGGGATTCAAAAAAATTCCATAATTTTAGTCCTGTTAGCTGAATATTTGGTAAGGTAACTTTTCCATTAAAACAGCATTTGGAGAAGCTGAATATGCTGGCTTGTGAATGGAAACTGTTTTCTTCTAAAACGTATACTGCATGATAGCTAGTATATTCATAATTTAAAGCGGAAAGTACGTGACGTATTACTGTATTTACTGGTAAAAAACCAACTGTATAACTAATTGCATGTGGTAAAATCTAAAGAATGATAAGAGTTAATATATTCAAATAGGTAGAGAAGTACTATGAGAAATTGAAATAATTGTATATTTACCATAGAAGTATTGTTATCAGATAAATTGGTATGTAAACAATTCTGCTATCTGTTTCTTTGTCTAGATTCTTGTCTGCGGGTATGGCAAGTAGAGCATATTAAGTAGTAACCTCTTGGCTGTATTTTCTCAAAAGGATTATCTTCCTTGGCATGTCTGCAGCTAGTACAGATGCTTATTTGGACAGGTTGC